GCGCATTTACCTATTGGGCGTAGATTAAGACGCGTTGTCGGGGCCGGCTTTTTGGACCGTGAAAACTATATTTCAATGGAAACTTCGGGCAGGATCTTTACTTCGCTGTTACTTGAAAAGGATTGCATGCAAACGTATTTCACTCGACTACCAAACTGGCCCTTATCCGAGATAGTCGTCCACCAGTCCACTTTTGAGCTACAGTTCATCACCAGAGAGTCAAAAATGTACTGGTTGTATCGCCAATATTTGTCGCGGATAGCCAAAGTCTCGGGTCATGTTTGGGCACTAGATTTCTGGATTCGCGATCCATAGAAGTCGACGACAGTCAGCACTTCGGAAACCTAAGTGTTTGAGGCCTAAGGTTGAATATATCGCTCAGGGGATGGCGCACACCTTTGGTTTACTTTTTTTATTACCTAGTGCAAGGAAGAAAAACAAGCAAAATAAAGAGATCGCGTATATATCTCGACACCGCAAGACATTTCGACGTTTTGTTTTTCTTGAGTTTGTTTGTAACACACGCCAATCCATCAATCGCCCAAACAGCTACCATTCAGGTTCATGGGCACAGTGGGCCCACTACCGTCTACTCCAGCCCCCGTAATAACCTTAATTTCTTTCGGGCTTGAGACGATGGGAGAGAAACAGATAGATAAATGAACTACCAAACTACAGCCTATGTCGAAAAAGACGCGAAAATTAAAGAGCCATCAGTTAGTTGAATAGATCCTCTCTACTTTATTATGTTCACGTCCACTGAACTGACCTATCTCGGGGCCTCTATCCACCCATGCGTGTCCCTTGTGCCGATGTGCCTCGGCATTTCACTCATTTTCTTGTCATTGACTAGACTCCTCGGAGCTTCATCCAACAAGATGTACCATCTTCAGACAGCATATACCAAGGTTAGCGGTCACATGCATGTGAAGAAGTGACCCTATCAATGTAATTAGTTCGTGTTCATCACAGTTAGTTAAATCTCGGAGAACTGTTGTCCAGTACTGAGTGACACACACTGCAATTACTTGTTTGATAATCGGAAACTGAAATCCCCCCGTGTACTATCGCATACAGTAACACCTATCTCACCACTGTTGCACATCTCGCATTTAACTCACGAATGAGCGTATCGCGGACTGTCGCCTAGCAATTACGGTCGCATGGATTGTTCCGATGCACTGGCTCGTCTCTCCGATCCCACCTGAACTGATGTAGCTACCAGAATAGGCGAAACATTCGGTACTTTTTGGGTTTTATAGTACCCACTTTGTTTTGGATTGCAACGCTCAATCTCAGTTGAAACTACAGCCTACATTAGAGTAAACCTGACAAACGGGCAACTGACCACCGCCCTTGGGACAAATGTTGACTCAACGCTAGTTTCACTGTTTATCCTAAACCTGTCTGGTATCATTGTCTCAGAGGGCACTTAGCGACTTCCACCCAGGCGAACACAATAAATTGTAACCGTTGACAGATTATCGCACTCATTTATGCTTTGCTTTTCTCTCATTGGTGTTCGAAACTATTTACTTTCCCCCATCATGTCTAGAATTGACTAGACGCTATCTTATAGAAGCTACGAATGCTTCTATTGCAGTTTTGCGTGAATCTGAGTCCTCACTGTCTACTGTGCTGATAGACCGCAGTGCCACTTGGCGTTCACCTCTAGTTGATCAGCAATGGACCCAAATAGATCACGTTTACGTAATTTCCAGATCGCCTGCTTTCACCCTGGATTGCCGCTCCTTCTGGAGTTCGTACGTCGATTCTGGTCATGTTTTAGTGTGCTGTTGTTTTTCAGTGAACGTTTTCGGGGGCATACAGAGCGCCTTCTCCGATTGACAACTAAGAAGTTATATCATCCGTCTGCTACGCTAGCCTACCAAGACGCTCTGTGTACCGAACTTTCGCTCTCCCGCTCTAAAAACTCTGAGCTTCAGTGGAATAGAATCTCGGGCGCCATTCACGATGCGAGAGCTTCTGCTTGCCGCACCGTCAGTCGTCAGAGCGCCAGTCACTGGATATTTGAGAGCTCGATGAACCTGTTGTAATACCGAACCAAACCCTTGGCTGGCTATGAGCACAATGTAACCAGACGGACTATTAGGCGCGAACTGAAACGGAGCCTGTATGTTAACAAGAAATCCTGGTGAAGCAGTAGGGCTTAAGAAATGGAGGAGGCGGAAGCAGTTGACAGTTTTCGCAAGCTCTTCCAACTGATCCGCACCAGTTGGCTCGTGAATTGATGCGTCAGCGACACAACCGGACAGCATGTATGGCGTAATTCACAACATTCAGCCCCGAGTGGCTCTTTGGGCGGATCACTTTCGAGAGTAGTTCACTTGACCCCTGCTTCCAAACCTCTTCCTGTTCAGGCTGGGCCGTGGCCGGTTAGTTTGGAGGTTCAATCGGGGACTGAGGTCCGAAGCGCGATCATAACCCTTAATCGTTTTCGATATGCTGGTCTGGATTCCCTTGCACTCGCACTACACCAGGATAGTGGTGAGGTGTTCCGCAAAGCCTTGACCTCCCTGTCCGACCACGCCTAGGAGAAAGAGACCATCTCAGTTAACTGGTGCGAATCGATGGTGGTGACAAGTAGGGCAATCGCAGCGGCTGTGCTAACCACAAGGTTAGTAACCTAACGCTAGTGGTAACAAAATTATTGGTCTCAATTCTCGTTCGTCACCTCAGTGCAGAACGGGACTCCCGGATTAACGAAGAGCAAGCAGGTTTCCACCCAGCGAGGGGCTGTACAGACCATGAACTCACTCTTCGGTATCATCACATGTATCGCAGGCCGACACTATCTATGTTCCCGGACTTAAAAGTGCGTTTGGTTCAATTGACCGATGCATTCTGTTCAAATATTTATGCGGAGAGGTGTTCCCATGAACATTTTACTTGCCCTTTATTCGAACACCACAGGCCGCCTCAAGGTATACGGCGACTTGTCAGATATCTTTCCGACGACAAGTAGTCTTCGACAGGATTGCCCAATCTCCCCACTTTTGTTCAACTTCGTCGTGGACTCCATCATTGAATGTTCCCCTGCGGCATCTCACGATACAGGTGTTAAAATGCTGCATGATGAAAGGTTAGTTGATCTTGATTATGCGGACGATATTGTTTTGCTATTTGACAACGCCGAGGCGGTCCAGTCAACCTTGGATTACCTCCCTAGAGTGATCCCATCGCTTAGCATGCGCTTCGCACCTTTCGAATGCAATGCTGTTGCACGACCACCAGCCACTTCACCCATTGACTCTTGAATGCGAGGAATTCGAGGTAGACGATCAAGTCACCTTGGCAGCTGCATGAGCACCGATGGATGCATAGGCACTGCAGTCAGTTCATGCATTGCAAAAGTCAGAACTGTCTCCTTGAATGTGCGACATTTATGGCGTCAGAAAGGAGTTTCTCTCTTTCTGAAAGACCATTTGCATGTCTGCAGTGCGCGCGGTCCTACTGTTTGAAGGGGAGACTTTTCCCCTTCGGTCTGAGGATCTGAGGCACCTTCAAGTCTTCGATCACCGTTATCTGGGAAGCATTGCTAGTGTCGAGTGACACCGGCGTATCCGCAACAATAATGTGTGTAGTCGAGTGCTAGGCAGTGATTATCATGCTAGATCGCTAAAACAACAGGTAGCACTGAATACGTTATGTTGGTTTGGACACGCGCTACGTATGCCGGGTCGCCGCTTGCCGAGGAGGGCCTTGTTTTATTAGCCAGATGTAGGATGTTGCAAGGGTCGAGGTCGATAAAAGTTGACTTGGCAACGGGAACTGAACTCACTGGCCACTACTACACTGGTGCTGTTAATTTGTCTCGCCTTGCAGGCAGCAGTCCACTTGGCCCACCTTGTGCTCAACTCGAGAAATTACAGGACATGACTGCTTCCGGCACCGGACTGTCTGTTTACAGTGTATTTCGTGCTGTGTTACCTGCGGGATAATGGCTGATTATGATGCGTGGCAGTGAGAGCAGCAAGGAAGGTGCTTTGCCGTTGCCGTCTTATTATTTCATGACAGCCAGCTGTTTGTGATAGTGCGTTGTTGACATAAGGTGTAGGCGTGTTGACTCTGAGTGTGTGTCTAGGGCATTAAGGTTTTACGCCACGTCCCTCTTCTCTCCTTTTTTCGTTCATTGTAATTGTACGACACCGAAGCCTCAATTCAAATGGCTGCTGTACTGCTGCTGTTGATTATTTACAGTAACACTCTTGATCGTCCTTCGTTCGTTTTTTTGTCTCACTCTGCTACCGTTTAGAAGTGAGTTCAAGTTAAGATCTGAGGCAGCCTATCCGATACGAACCGAACGACCTCGGCTATTGGTCGCACCAAGCTCCACTGCTTGGATGACAGTTGTGGGTTGTTGTTTAGTTGAAGTGGAGATGGCATGCTATTGGTGGGATTGCGTCATTAGCAAGAGCACTAGTGGAATACTTTACACGAAGATGCCGTGCGCACGAGCTGTGCTGTATTTCTCTCTTTGTCATCTTTCCCTCAGTAGACCATTTGTCCCTAGAGGACACGCTGGCGTCCTTTATCTTGCTGGGTATTTCACTCAAGAGCGCATTTTTTCCTCCATATCGTCCTCAGTAGTCACCTCTACTTAGACACAATTTGGTGTTTTGCTTCAGTGTCCTTAGTGAGACGAAAGCTACTTTACTCGGGTTTGTCATATTGGCCTGTCTAACGTGCATTTAAAACGTATTTACTGTAGCGCTTGTATGCTTTTCCCTGTCCGTCAAACACCTCCGAATTGATAGGTTTTCGCCTCTCATTTTTTATGTAGTCGAGCTTTGGTGACCATCTCTATTGTCATTTTCAGCAACCTTCATTTAAGCTCATATTAGAGATCCCGTGGGTTGCTTAAGCATTGGGCGCTATTCACATGGCTTCGCTCAGCCATCGGATCACACTGCCCATTCGAGCCGTTATGTATTTCAGTGCTTGTGTATGTGTATGCATCACACCCTCTTACGTTTTAGGGGATCAAAAGGCGTATTTCAACGGTGCCTCCAGTAATGGATCCTGCGGTTGCCGATTTACTTGGCCTGGAGACTGAATTTCACCAGCATGGTTATGATAGCAAGTCCACCGCGTTTCCACCTGGAACACAACAGGCTCAGCTATCTAGCAATGACCGAGCCAGCTCTTATGAGCTTAGTCATAGTCTGGAACAAGAGCAACAGATGCAAGCACTTGAGGTATGTGTTATCCAGAGCCACTGTGTCTGCCCAGTTCATCCTCATGCTTGTCGAAATTCGCTTCCCAGAATTGTTCATCGTATTTTTGAATGTTTCATATAGAGAGATTGAGAGATTTTTCACCTCTTGCTTTTCGTTACATTGCCTAACCCATGAGGTACTGGCGTATCATATTCAGATCTGATGTGTTCCCGTTTTGCTCTCTGGAGAGCTGCCTGAAGCAAATGCAGCCTTAAAACACTCGGAACAGTATTTTTATGGTATTTTTTATTTTCCCACATCCATCGATTTCGGTTATAGTCGACCACATTAAGGCACAGTTTCTTTACGCTGGGTGTCGAAATCATGAATTCCTACCCGGGCACTACCGTTTTCATACTCTACTCAAACACGACACGCTGATAACTCATTGTCCTTGTCATACTCGGGCGGATGGCACAAACGTGATTTATGTTTGGATAGTGCTACGGATTCAACTGACACTACGATGGTCGATCTTGTCTTGACGGTCGCTTTTAGTGCATTTGCTTACTCCTTCTCCGGCACTGCTTATCATTGAATGGTGTCTCACAAGAATTCTGCTACATTTCGAAATCACCGCATTTCGTTTTCTGAGAGCTCCGGTACCCTACGGTATCGATCACGATAACTAAGGAGTCTCAAGACTTGACTTTCTGTCCCTTCTCAGTCAACACTGTGCTTGGGATGATCACAAGTGGCTCTGTGTTGACTGCATCATCTGCAGTTTAGTAGTAGGTCAGCGACGGCGGCCTACACAAATAGGCAACTAAACGGTAAGCTTGAAGCGAACAGTGATTTAGATTGTGTTTTCATCGGGTTAATACATTATAGAGGGCTGGGTTCCATTAACATAACAAGAAAAGGTCAATTGATTGTGATGTTAATTTGTACTTGTGACTTAGGTCAGACTGTGTCACAAGTGTCATACAGATCCCTCCTCTCCTTCGCATTTCGCCATGACATGACCATTTTGGTGGGTCGTTTTGAAGCAATGGTTGTGTGAGTGGATTATGACGCACGGTCTCGATCTTGACCGCGACTCGCATTGAAGTGAAGTGTTGCCCACCGTGACCTGATGGCTAAAGGGGGAGAGGTTTCAACTAACATCCCACTGTCCCCGGGAACTGAACCATTTTCGATTCGTGGCTTTGCTCGTGCCGTCTTCGTATATGGATCCTGTGATAGTTAGAGATTATCAGGTCGCGCAGTCAGCGGCGTTACCGCATTCGGTTTTCATTCCCATTAGTCTTGCGCACTTTTGTCTTGATTTCACTTTCTTTGCATTCTATTTACATTCAACCTCATTCTCTTATAGTAGTTATTATTATTCTGGCGACGTGATCCATGACAACTAGATCCACCGCGATTTTGTCTCCGGATCATAGTCGTTCAACTGAGACGGAACTGAATGTGGATTTTGGACCTGTCGGCCTCACACAAGCAGCCTTCGCGGTAGCAGGCAACATGATTCTCGGTCACTGACTCTGCTGAACTTATGCTTTATATAGCACTTCGAAGGCGGTTCCCTTGCCGGTTTAATATTCAGTTACTAATGAGTAGTTGGGATTTGGTATAATTAGAGATAGTTCATAACGGTTCGGTCAGGAGGGCTAGTCTGGAAAAGCACCAGACACCGGTGTTTCAACCTTCTGGGTGTCATCAGTGAATCGCCTTCCCGAGGACTCCTGCTGGGTTCCGCCCCCATGACTTACGGATGCCAACAGCTAGTGCAACTTCGGCATGGGTGACAACCGCTGACCTGCGTGATTGACAGTTGATTAGGCAGCCTGTTATCACACTGAACTGGTTCTATTTCCTTAGTAGTTTAGTCAGTTCGGTGGTCCTTCTTGATCCTCTTACATACATGCCTAGTCGCACGTCCGACGCACATAGACGCCTAGGGACCAGTGAACTGGTAGATGAGTATCCATTAGAAATTATCAGATATCATGTCTCTGACTATAGCACTCGGACGATCTAGTCCTGTCTGAGTTGGGGCTATCTCGTATGGAAGCGACTGATCAAAGTGATCTAGTTCACCGCACGCTTCAACATAAACTTCGCATGTTCCCTGTGCATTATAATAGTATTTGATAGACATTACTGGTCCCCAGCATCACCGAACAAGTACTGTGATTGGTTGATCGCTTCACCTACCCTGATAGCTTAACAATCAGTCGTTGAGTCACCGAAAGTCCTGCGAAGATCGATAACGTCCGTGCGACTTTTGCGAACCATACTCAGCTTTTTAGTGGGCGGTATATAAGTTAGTCGGATGTGCGACACCACACTTCTACCACGGCTATTGTACGGAGCATAGAGGCAGCCACTGCTTCTTGTAGGCGTCAGGTGGCTATGATGTGTTTATCATATCTACCGAACCTGATGAGGGATTAACACAAATGATGTTTGATGACCATCTATTTTGATCTCGAACTCCAACTGTCCATACCGTCGAATTGCCCGCCACTGCTCCGCGTACAGGGCACACTTTGATTCTGATCAGGTGGTTGCATAGATAGCAATATATTGGCAGCGACTGTTCCTTTTCCCTGCTTGGATGCTTATTTGACTTAGGGTATCTCAAAACTATTTACTACATATGCATTCCATCATTTATTTTTCTCTACTAATTTAGTACTTCAATTCATTTGCTTTTTATTTATTCTTCTATTTGGTCTGATTTATTCTCCTCGCCTTATTTTCTCATCTGCCACTAACAGATCGAGTTGATAGGCCACACTGCCGCTTAGCAGACAGACAGTGATCATATTATGTTAAATACTCTCCAATGTGATATTCCAATAAAGTATTCGCGCTACTTTGTAATGGGGATTTAATGTACCTACACTAAGATCTGCGTCCCCCAATGGACCTTCCTTTAAATTAAAACTTCTGAGTTCATTGACATCACAATTTTGTATAACCATTTGCATCGACCAACCACGCATCGGTTTCAAATATCCCATCACTTCTGGACTTAATTCGGACTAAGGAAGTGTTGACGGTTGAGCCAGTTTCATACGACCGTTCTCTTTCCTGGAGGCAAACACTCAGGAACATCCAGCAAGTCTCAGTTTTCGACGATTTCAAATTATTTACTTTCCGTGCAAATGGTGAATAAATCCGAAAACTCTTTTTTGAGCCACCTTTTTATGCATAGTTCTAACAGTTATCGGTTTTCGGCGATTTGACCGTGTAGTTTGACCCGAAAATCCGTTGGCTTTTCTCGCACTACAGTAAACACTGTTGTTTACTTATTATCCTTACTGTTATTACTGTTCTAGTTCCTCCTATTTTATAGTTGGCCACGGCTGGACCGACAAATTTAGGTTTCCATGCTTATGAGTACACCAATGCGAGTCGAATTGCCATAGACTCACTGACATGTCAGAAAAGAGCCGAATGGTGGAACGAACTGGGTGGCTTAGTGCCCATACTGTATAAATATCATAACAGACCTCAAGATGAATTAAAGCGATGATGGCTTAATTGTTTTTAATCCACACTAGCACATCGCCAAATGGGGCTTATAAGTGTTCATGGAGCATTTCGAAAGACTACCCTGTACTGAATCAAATTTCCTGAGGAAGGTTTTATTTAGACCGGATTGCTTCACTTAACCCTTGTCTATAACTGAATTTAGTATTATCGTCAACTCCATAATCCTACTGTTACATCTAACTTATCATTGACTCCAAAAATTGGTTTGGAAACCACATTGAAAAACTTGAACACTTGCCTGTTTTATGCGATCTCGCGGTATATATTGATCAGACTTTCAGTTGGTCTGAGTCTCACACTGTCGAGAAATATGCTATTTATCTACGTTTACAGGAGGACATTACTAATGTCAATGCGATCTTCCAACAACTCTCCAATTTGGTATTCGAGCAACGGACCGTTGTCGATTCCATTGAAGACAATATTCAAACGGCATATATCAACCAGGAATCGGGGGTTTCCAGATTGGAAAAAGCAGCCACTAGCCGGGTGAGTTTGTCTCCTTTTCTTTGTTTAATTCATTTTCACCTGTGCTTCTGCTAGCGAGCTTCCTGTCGCAACAGATTGGAGGGAAATTGGTATCTGGTTAAGCTACAATTTTGAGCTTGCAGCTCATACATAGCTTAGGTTCTTTTGTCATTGCAATCTAAAATTGCCCTGCATCTCGATTGCATTCCTATGACCTCTCTCCGAACTTTTGTTTGACCACATCACAAGTTTTTTGGTGGATTCCCGCCACGCACCCCCGCTGTTGTCTTCCAGTTATCCGAAATGCATTTGTGAGCTTCCAAGTTACAGGATTCATTTTTAAGCGAAGTGTTTTGCTCAGCCAATCGGGGCATTACTCCGTATCCGTCACCGTATTTCAATTGGCTCACTCTGTGTGTTTCTGAAGCGATGATCTGCTTCGCTTCGTGTTGGAGCATGTTCCTCTAGGTTTGGTGGTAATGTTCGCCGTTTCTTCTGAGAAGGAGACCGGATAGATAGTACTTTCTGACCCCTCGCATTTCGATTAGAAACATGTAGTGAGTTATTTTATGAAATTGTATCGTTTTCCTCACCCGCTCGCACTCAACGACCGCTTTCATGCTTGACGCGATAGCAAAATTGTGACTCGAAACCCATGCATAGAGCTTAACCGCTGAAGTTTTCCCCCCCCCCCCCACCACCACCACGCCAACATCGCCCAGCCATTCAGCTTGATAAAGACATCAGCCAGCGTTCTCTACACCACCATCTTTGAGTTGCTCTTCTACCATCTGCCTGAAGAGGGTAGTGATGCACGGGACTGATTGTGAAGTTTGCCGTACTGTGCGAACGGAAAATTTCAAACCATTTGACGGTCTCACATACTGTGCCAATGACCGGGCTGGCCGAGACTCACTTTGTGTTTTCGCGTTCATAGTCCAGATTAAGATTGTGTGTGTCGGAATTCATTCACACCATAGGTATTTAAAACGAAGTACTGATTATCCTCTCCTCTCTCTGCCTTTGGATTCTAGTCGTTTCGCATTTGGGCATTTTGGTTGTCTTTTGTTTACAACTGTGCAATCAGACCTTTAGCTTCTTTTGTCGTGGCAGTCCTCATACAGCCATTACGTCAACGCCCCACCGACCACTGTAGCATCAAAAATTTCTTGTTGCCTAGAACCAAGCATACTAACGGGAACAACATGCATCTTACTTTCCGACTGCTGCAACTATGGCTCTCTACTTCTCCACATATCCATTACCGGATTTCGGGCAGCACATGCAGGTAATGTTCAACCAAATTGGCCGCTCCACATTGAAGACATTACGGTACTAGTCGTTTTTGATCGGCGGTGCTTACGTATTATTGCTCACATCCAGTGAGGACACCGAGTGAGCTGGCAGTAAACTCTCTGATAACTCACGAGTGTGTCTGTTATACTTGCAACGCTTATAGTTGCTAGGTCATGCCTTTCGTATGCCTCTTACCGGATTTTGCGTACATTATGCGCCGTCGATGCACCAGGTTGGGCGAGACCGTGACATGGCGCTCTTGCGTCCGGTTTATTGCATCTAACTGTTAGTATTCCATCCCGGCTAATTTTACTCACTTTCTCATACCTCGCTTCTCTATTCTACTTGCGTTCTACTCCATTTTTCTCTCATTATTTTTATCCTGATAACCCGGGTCGTGGCGACTGAATCCATCCCACCTCGCTACCCGGACTATACATGTTCATCTGAACTGTACTGTTGTGGTATCGGCTCTGATCCATTTGAATTCCGTACAGCTTCGGTGAATCACTGCTTCTAAAAACCGTCCGTCTGACATCGCTTCTCCATTCGGTCTGTGAAGTCCATTGTGTGGATCCATATACAACTTAGGTGCCACGCGGTTTTACTTCCACTGCTGACGAATTCTACCTTCCAGACAATGAAATCCAGTACTTCGGCACCGAAATTGAACTGCGTGCACCGTCACTATTCCGGCATTTTTTTGGTTATGCGTTGTTGGAAAAGGCCTTACGTAGAATTCGCAGATGGATTAGGCTCTAGAAAATGGCGTTAAATGATCATAATGGGTGCGACTTGTTCACGCAGAGTTACACCTCCCATGCGCGTGCATCAGAAACAATAGTTGGCGAACAAACTCGTTTTCTTTAGTTCGTCATCAAGCGAGCTGCACCACGAATGAATAACACTAAACCTTGACTACAGATGAGCGTACTACTTTAGTGGCCTAGGCAGCCTGAGTGACCGAACTAAGCGATTGGTTCCAAGGTTGTGTTCGTGGTGTTCACACTATGTGTCAGTATAGTAGGATTCCAGGGTTGACTGAGTACTTGGACACATTTCTGGTGCACATAAGTGGGGGTCATGAAACCGAATGGATATTTTTTTGACCGCTGCCCGTAGACATTTGACTGCTTGTGTATGCCATCTGGATGCACAATAGATGGGATGGAACGGTTCATGCGCCTTTACCTACTATTTCTGATCAACCAAATGTGGACACACGGCGCTTGCCACTGTAGTTACTCCGCTATACAGCCAAGTTGGATAGGGCTCTCGGATTCTCGTACAGTTTCCTACTGGTGATAGACACGAACAAGAAACAACGTTACACAGAAGGAAATACTTGACCGTGCAATTCTATCCTTAAATCGATGTTTCTCAACTAGCACTGAATTGAAGCTTATCCGTATGCTTGCTGCGCAGTAGGTTTGAGAAATGGCTTCAAAAATCCTTCTACATGTGGAAATCGTTATCCCGCCCTCTTGAAAGGTAGCGATAGACAGACTGGCTTCTTTTCCACTAAGATAAACTTTCAATTGTCTCTCGAGGCTCCATACTTCCTAGAACGCACTTCACGGTCGTCATTTCTTACTAATAGGCTTCTTATGAAGTTTAACTCGTTCAGGCGCGTGTTCACGCTACATATCTTTCTTGCTCACCGTTAGGCATCGAACAAGTTTCCCTTTTGGCTCAGTGGAACCAGGTTAGTAAAATGAGTATATTACCTGTTCCACGTTGCTTTTATATGGACACTCGATTGGACCGATGAGCCCGTCTAACAATGACATTGTGTTGCATTCAAATTCCAAGGTAGGTTTTGCGTTAACGTGGACCAGATTAATCTGCGTCAATAATTATCACACACAGACAACTATCTGCGATGCAGAATATATAGTCTGCATAACGTGGCCAGTAAACTAAGTAATTAATAACTCCGCTCAAATAGTTGTTTTCCAATTTCAGCTACTTCATCCAATTTGGTCATAAACATATCTGCTAGTAGCGATTTTAGCAATTCCGTTTTTCTACCTATAAACTGACCCGTTGATCTGTAATTGCATGTTGCTCGTACACATCAGAAGTAGCTGGTCTAACTCGTTCGTTCGAAAGGCCGACATTCAGATGATGTGCCGGAGTGGTATCGCGGGACATTCGTGAAGAGTGATACAAGATCTAGCGAGAACATCTTACCAGTTAGGTACCCATTCTTTATTGAGTCTATGAAGCTGAATGTATCCTTGAAGTCGTGTCATGATAATACTTTCCTGACCGGTTCTAGAATCCTAGCAATTCGTTTTGATGTCGTCTACTACAGAGATTCACACATTTCCAACATGGATCTCAGTGGAAGCCGTTCTTTATACACTTTCGAAACAGCACACGAAGCGTTCCATCCCATCTACTGCCTACCCAGGTACCATGCACCAGCAGTCCGATGTCGTCCATTGGCAGCGACCGAAGCGATCTCCGTTCGGCTTCATGACCCTGACCTATGTGCGCATAATAAATTCTCCAGGCGCTTAGTTTACCCTGGCCACCTTACTGCGGCATACTGTGAACATCACCACAAACACCATTGACCGCTTTGAGACACTGCCTATTTCGGCCAGTTAACTAGGGTTTGCATTTCATACCATTCATTGGGAGGGTATTAGCCTGATGGGGAACCAGTGAAAACGAGTTTGTTCGCTAACCCTAGTTTCGAATGTGAGTTAAGCACATATGATGAACACTCGTTTAGGCTGTTTACCTTCTCTGAACAACAGTTGTTTCAAGTGCTGTGCGCACTAATACACTTGTCGATAATTTCCAGCCTCTGGCTACCACCGTCCACAAATTGCTTCCACTCCTTGCTCCCATCGTAGTTCGTTGTCGGCCCTGCTTGATCCTCGGAGGGAAGCACCACAGATTTTCCATTCGAATTTCATTCGTCTTCCCTCGAAAACAGTCACTGAATCCTTGTAGACTAGGTTTGTGACGGTTTCAGTCTCAATTTCAACTATTCTACATGGAACATTTGTGTTCGAACTTCCAACGACCTCTTTGCACTCTAAATGGTATGCCCCATTTAGAACGGAACATCATTAGATAAGAACATGTGTGCGGCTCGAACTGCACCTAGTTTTAAGGCTGCCTTAGGTATTATTGTGTGCGTGACTATTTACACCTGAGTTGTTCTATGTATCCTATTGTAACTGAACGACGCGGCAATGAACCACAATCTTTACTGACGCATCAACAGTCAATCCAACCCCTCGCGCAATCTAACAGGTGTTAAGTATATGTCCTCCCCACGACGCAACACATTGTGGGGAGTCCGCGACACATCTATGCGGCTACGTGGCGTGCGCCTTTGAATAATTCATTCACGTTTCGCCCCATATCTTCGCTTCTGTCTATCCCATTCTGGTCGGCCAGGAATCGTTCGGCAGCTCGGGATTTGCTTAGTCATGGCCTCGCCACTCTGCTTGTGATCAGCTCTGGAGGATCCAGTACTTGCAAATTCATCTGATTTATTACGCTTTTGACGAATGCATTTTCTGTGCCCACTCTCATGCTCGCTACCGGTCGCCGCTCGCGACACCATCAGGACCGTGTTGCTCTGTCTGGTCTCACTGGTTGCGTCAGTTCCTGATTCCACTCGCCCCAGTTTTCGTGGTCTTCCTATCTTCCGGATAATCCTTGCACTCGTTGATTAATGTACTCATCTATAGTGTCCCATCGTCGACATCAGCGATGACGCACGTCTGTTGGTATACCGGGAAAATTCCCCTCAGCAACTGTTTAATTGATAACTCCTACTTTGGCATTGTGAGCTCTATTGAGTCGAGTGGCCTCATGCAAGCGAGTCTGCGGCGTATACCGAATCAGTACTGTATGGTACTATCTTTTCGCCTCTCAAACTCAGGCTCACTGCCAAGTTCCTTTGGCAAGAGATTATCCCTGTGAACTGATGTCGTTGGAATTGGCTGTTGTTGTCACCTCATTTGAGGAGGCAAATCCTAGAGATTGCATGCATTTGGTAGGATTCAGTCTGACTCAACTTGTGACACCAATGCGATGAAGCTTAACCCCTATGTTAGTACGTCTCCATGTTCCGTTGAGGTTTTCTGAGTCGCTATCTTAGCATTCTCACACACCCAGTCATGTTAGCCTAACTCATTGTCAACATTCTTTCCATGTGCTTAGTGGTGAAGGTCGATTGTCCCAGAAGTCGGCCACTACAGGCAATACCATGTGAGTTATAATCTCAGCGTGTCTGGCGTAGAGCATGAACAACACCTGTTGTTCATGTCAGTGGGAGCTCACAGCTGTCGCTCAACAGTTTGCAGTCGCCGGCACCAACGCACATCGACCATAACCATTAAGGCGCAAACTCACCAGGCATATTTGTTGGTATAATAATAACCCGTGATCGATTATTGATTCCATGTCTTTGGATGATAGTACAACTGAATGTAGAACATGACTCCATATCCGAAGCTCTGCGTCATTCGATATAACAGCAGGTCCTCTATCAAAACGTAGCCTCAACGCAACACTATCAATCCGGCCTTTTGGTCCACTTGTGCCCCTTAACGTAGGTGCATCCAGTCACCGGCTATCTATGCAACCCACTCTTTTCTTCTGGCGAACGGCGGTCACCAGCTGCCACCATCCCTAATTCCACGAAACCAGCGGGTTGCAATCTAATCATTTTTTTCAACGAAATGGATAGGTGCGCTAGCTATTTCACTGTGTGCGTAATTGCAGAATGAGAAGGAAAGTGAAAGAGCTGACGGTCTAACATCTCCTTTGACAGGAAGTTGCAGAGCTGCAAGCAAACACCTATCAGATGCCTTACTCAGCCTTAAACTGCTGAATATGTCATTCCGCACAGTAACTGTTCTGTCTATCTCGATCATATTTGACTTGTGTGATTTGTATCATCATCATCATCATCATCATCATCATCATCATCATCATCATCATCATCATCATCATCATCATCATCATCATCATCATCATCATCATCATCATCATCATCATCATCATCATCATCATCATCATCATCATCATCATCATCATCATCATCATCATCATCATCATCATCATCATCATCATCATCATCATCATCATCATCATCATCATCATCATCATCATCATCATCATCATCATCATCATCATCATCATCATCATCATCATCATCATCATCATCATCGTCGTCGTCGTCATCATCATCATCGTCGTCGTCCTCATCATAATCATCATCAGTACACGTTAGCTGAGGGTGAGAAACACCTCAGCTAATGTGCAGCAATGCAAAAGGTAAGAGAATAAAAAAATTACACTACGAATTCCACTACAAAAAATATGCCGTTACATATTATATTATGCGTTTCGCATGAGATGGGGATTGGAAGGGGAACCTAAAGCGAGGGGGATGGACAAAGGAAATCACAACACAAACGCCATTGGGGCCGGCTTTTCGCCATATCAGCAAGTGTGTCCAACTAAACGTGTTCATCATTCTTGGGACCTCAGCCAGGCAGTCGGGATGCACCAATCGACGCCAACTTCGATTGAAGAATTTTCCTTTTTCTCGACCAAGTCATTGCTTACTTCCCTTTCTCCTCTTCCTACCGCACACCCGACGCGCAAACAATGCACGTCGCGGGAGTCATTGTTCTGGCATGCGCAACAGATGGCTCAGCCATCGGAGCCTGGTGCGTGATATAATGGTGCTGAGCGGTTCACCCGCTCTTCCTCCATCAAATACATGACTCCAAACACGCTCATTGCTCGAGCGGTGCCTCCACCAAATATGAGCTAAATTGCGAAGGCAGCGGTGGTCGAACGTGACTAGCCTCTACGTCTGTCGACCTGATGGGCCAGGTTTCACAACCATATGGGAGGGTTGAACGGACGGCTGCACTACAAACTCTGCCCTTCAGGGCAAGGGTGATGTCGTCATAGATGGTGGAGATTGGGAAAAACACCTCAAGCTTTCTATACGGTTCGTAAAGTCATGTTCTATCTGACGGGCTTCTATAGCTGCCCAGGTACTAGAATTCGTGAACTACTTCTAGCTGATCACTACAAAGCGTTAACGCAAGCGTTGGTTCCTGCCAGTCTCGGAGAAGTATTTTGCATTTTGATGGAGCAAAGCATAGCCTAAAACGTTAGACAGCCAGTGCTAATCGGTCCGTTGCTGCTTTTAATGTTTGGGGACTGTCACAGATTAGGGAAATATCATCGGGATATTCCAACTCAAGAAGTCACTCACCAGGAAGTAGCTCCACACCTTCTAAGTCGTGTCCATCCATTGCTGTTCCCATGACTTCGTCAACTGCCTAGTTAAATAGGAAAGGTGACAGCGAACAGCCTTGTCTTACATCGCTGGTAATACTGAAGGGTTGCGACAGTTTGTCATACACTCTCACTCTGCCTGAACTATGCGCGTGCAACACTTTGCTAATATTTACGTATTTATCAGACACACCTCTCCTCAGCAGATAGTCCCAAAGGGCACATCGATCGACTGAATCGAAGGTACCTTTTATGTCAAGAAACACGACAACAGTGCGTTGCCAATAAACATGGCGGTTCTGCAATTATTGACCCAAGATGAAGATGTCTTCGATGCAGCCTGGACCTCGACGAAATCCGGCTTGCTCTTCACGGATCTGGCTTTCACGAGTGCCAGTCAGTCTGTGGAGAATG